CGAAATGCACCTAAAACGTCCCGCGTCCTTTGCCGAAAAATGCTTCTTGAATGCAAAGTATGTCATTCGATGTAGCTTTTGATGGAAAATCCGAATATCATGGTTACTTTGCATGAAAATCCACTTTCGAAAAGAGAATATAAAAATATGAGTGCAATTCTATAATTTTGTACTGCTCGAAATCTTGAAAGAATCAATTTTCTCGGCAACGAAAGAGAATTTTAGAAAAAGTGATTCATATTTTTGTAGTCGATCAAATAGCGATCCGAATATAGTATAAATGAAATTTTTAGATCATGATAGAAAAAAACTAGATAGAGTTACAAAAGTATGCACTTAGTGCCATGGGCAGTGACAAGGGATCGTAACGATTTTTGAAAGGAAAAAATATAATGTAATAAAGCTTTAGATAATATTTCTAGACTATGTTATGGATGAGGAATCTGAAAATCATACTATTGAGAATGAAAAATGGATTGGTGGTGGGGCTAGATGTCACCTTTTCTATCATTACTACTGCTTATGGATACTAACATCGTCTAATTCCATTGAAATTCTCCTACATAAAAGTTTGGACAAAATTAAAAATAAGTTCAGATTCGTAATCAGCCTCTAGAAGTGCATTTAGATATGCATGATTTAGCGAGAAAAGCAGAGTTCTGTAACTTTGCATTTCGCCTATCTGAGATTTAAAAATGTGAAGTGAAGTATTTGGGAATATTTCATGTATTGTATGCTATCGTTGCTCTTATGCTCTTGTGTAAATTTTTGAATGATATGCAAATCGTTAAATGATATCATATATGTGTAAAATGATGTAGCTGTAATGGTTGCTCAAAATCTTGTCGTCGACTGTCGTGCCTACTTCCTTCTTTGCCACTTGACGAAGTTGATCTTATGACTGTTTTGAATATATTTTGTTCGTCTTTCTGTTTTTTTCTCCTTACTTTTTGTTACTTTTTTGTTCTTGTCGTTTTGAACATTTTTACAGACACTCAGGGGCGCGTCTGATCTGAGTGGGAGGATGTGCCGATATTTATACCACCTCCCATCGATCTTCTTTTCCTCTTTCCTCTTTATCTCTCTGTTGTTCGTTCGTGTGCTCATCTCTCTCTCATATATAAGCGTGTGTTGTATGTGAAGTAGAAACATTATGGACATATGAAGTAGCTATTAAACACCAATACCGAGAGTAGCGCCAAGCTACCCATCCAGTTTGTCGTCACATATTGATCCTGGCAGATAGTTGTTGTGACAGGCGAAAAAACAGCTTTTGTTCTATAGCATCATTTGAATTCTGGAGACTCATCTGATTCCTGAAAATTTATTTAATTTCCGGAAATTGATTTACTCTTCTGAGAACTGTTATAAGGCACAACATGACATTACCGCCTATACTTGCATTACCTATATTACCTCCTACAGTTCTACTTCCAATACCTTCATGACCTCAATAACCTCCATTACTTTCTATAACTCCATTATCTCTATACTGTCTATACTTTCATCAAAAGAAAGTAAAAATGCCTTCCCGAAATTCAAGTAAGGCATCATACGTAGAACACAATCAGCTACGTAAATCATTCAGTAGATGTATAGTATTTTAGAAAGTAACTATTTTCAGAAGCCATGTTTTTATCATTAGAAGTCTCTCTATCAGTAATCTCTATAAATATAACACTAATATCCACAATTTTGAAAACTATTCAATATGTAAATTTTAATTTTATTTTCATACTTAAAGGATACACCTCAAATGCTCCGTATCATTCATAAATATAGAAAATTTCTACTTCTTTTGTCGCTGCTAATAGCGGCAGATTACATACTACATCAAACGAGCAAATATAAGCGATCAGACGATTCCAAATATTTTTACTCGTATCAAAATATTAGTCAAATCACCAAAATATTTCAAATAAAAAGCGATAATAATACTTTTGTGCCAAATCATGCCATTTTTACCAATGCTGATATTACTACTGGCAACATTATGACCACTGCTGTTCTTCATCGAACTACCATCACGACTAGCACTGCACGTACTTCTACTCCTATCACGAAAAGCACTGCACGTACTTCTACTCCTATCACGACTAGCACCGCACGTCCTTCTATTACTATTGATCCAGCTGAATTACTTGTCGAAAGGTCTCCTTCTTTCTCACAGCAACATAGCAATCCTTCAAATGGTAGTCTAGCTGTTTTTGTTTTTCATACTCGTCATTTTGTGCTCGCTAATCTTCAAGTCTTTCTTATCCGGAAATTAGGTATCAACTTAGCTGCCGTCGAAATTTTTCTCGATGGGCCTCCATCAGAAGAAATGCGACAAGTTGCTGCTAGGTATAATGCCGGACTACATAGTTTACCAACAAATATAAACAACGATACTAATGCACCATCGGTTAGAAATACCAATCTTGTTCAATGGGCATTAAAAATAAAAGGAAAAGATTATCTTAAAAATGGTTCTGCTGTTCTTTTACTTGATGGGGACGTGCTTCCTTTAACTGAATTTAACTCCAACACACTTTTGAATTCACATGATATTGTTTGTCGAAAACATTCTGTTTCTTATGCACGATTTTGTTGGATTGGATTGATTTGTTTAGCTCCACAATTATACAACACTGTAGATGATTTTAATGTAGCATGGACATCGCGCGCAGGAAAATTTTACGATGCCGGTGGTCGAACAGTCGAATATTTGTTGAAATATCAAAATACATCGTTTTCTTGGATGAAAGAAACCATTTTACTTCGTAATGATAAAGAACTATTTTGGGGTGCAATTGATAATGACACTTCTTGGATTAGAGCTCATTTTGATCGTTGTGATAAATGTGGACCTGAAATTTTTTTTTCATCATTTAACAATAGTGATGTAGTGTTTTATCACATGATCAGTGGAACTTCGGAATGGAGATTCCCAGAGCAAGTTTCACGTAGGCAATCCATTTATGACTCTTTCATGCAATCTCGATATGGATTGAACCTCACAAATGACATTTCCAAAGAATCATTTATGTCTGGACTAACTGCATCTGTGAGAAAAATACAACAAATGAGACTAATACCTTTTCATGGAAATCTTACCTGTGGAAGTATATGCCGAGAAAAATTATTGCGATAGAAAAAACAACAAATTTTAGTTATTAAACCAACTAATGAAAAGAAAAGAACACATATATCAAACAAAAATGAATTCATTTATGACATTATTTATATGAAGTCATTCTGTGTTTGATGAACTATAAAAACAAACAAATAAATTTAATAATAATCTCCATTTTTTCGCTATGCAAAAAAACTGAAGGATAAACTATATAATATCCTATCTGATTTGGTGGAGATGGGCTCACTAGTTTTTACCTAGGCTGTGGGGTGTGGGTGCCGGTGTGGATTGAGTGTGGCTTTGGGGTGTGGGTCTGAGTGGTGTGGGTGGGTGTGGATAGGAGTTTGTTTATTTCTTCACCCACATCCACATCCACCCACACTCACGCACCCACACCCACCCTAGTTCATGAACATCATTTCTGGATCCACAGTATACGTCTATGGGCAGTTAAAGGGGGTTTAGTTGATTGTGAGAAAAGTCACGAATATATTATAGTTGATGATGGAAAAGCGATTGATGCGCTTGATTTAAATCAGATTTGCTATTTTTTATATATTTTGGCACTTTATTTTAATCATTGTAGCTGATTTTCCTCATCGCTTATGAACGTTAATGTAGAACCCTAATGAGTGGATGTGGGTGTCCGTAAATCAATTAGAAAACAGACCGACCTATATTTCTTCAACACAAATCCTTCTGATAATCTCAACTCTTTCTTTTCAGCAATTGATCTAGCCGAAAATTCAAGAATATTAAATAAATGTGCTTGAATTAAAATGCAGAGTTTAATTTTGCCGACGCGTTTCGTGTGATTTATTTAAGAACCATTTCACTGAAGCCACGATCTATCGTGCTCAATCAATGTTTTTGAATTTCGATTTCAGTAATATATATTAAAAGTACGTCAGTTGCTGAGTTTTTTGCCACCAACCGCACTTCGATATCTCATATCGTTATTGAAATATTCAATTCTTAACATGACACTCTTTTCTCTCAACTGTCGATGTTGATTCCACCTATATCCACTAAAAAGCTTGCTATTTTTGATGGACGTAATGCAGAATCATGAAACTTTCAATATAGATACATGTTGAGCTGATCTACAAAACAGGACTATCCTCAGCTCTAGATGTTGCTCTATGGCTGAGTTATAGGTGTCGCTAATAGTGAGAATTTGCCCGTCTGTATCTTTGGTGTACCTAGCTACCCAGGACTGAGACTTTTGTAGTAAGTACTCGGGCTATAGTACTTTATAATACTGAAAAGAAAACTTTCCTTAATGAAACATAACTTGAAATATGGAATTTTTACGAAAATTTGCTGCATTTTCAACAGGTTTTTACAGATTTTCGTCATATTTTTGTAATGAAAACTAAAAAAAAACGTCATACTCAGAATCAGCATAAAAAACTGAATCGAATGATTTATAATTTGTGAGAAAACATTTTTCATCAAAAAGTTACCCTTACTCCCCTCGGCTGCTTTTTATAAAATTCTAGCCTGTGATACCCCTTAAGTGAATTTTCGATGAAAAACTTTTCCTACAATTTATATGTCGTTCGGTTCAGCTTTTTATGCTGATTCTGAATATGACGTTATTTTTTAGTTTTCGTTACAAAAATACGAGGAAAATCTGCAAAAACCTGTTCAAAATGTAGTAAATTTTCGTGAAACTTCCATATCTCAAGTTATAGTTCACTACTCAAAGTTTTCTTTTTAGCATTATAAAGTACTAGAGCCCAAGTACTTACTATAAAAGTTTCAGTCTTTGATAGCTAGTTACGCCAAACATACATACGGACAAATTCTCATTACTAGTGGCACCTATAACTCAGCCACAGAGCAACATCTAGAGCTGAGGATAGTTCTATTTTGTAGAGCAACTCAACATGTATTTATGCTGAAAGTTTCATGATTCTGCATTACGTCAATTAAAAATGACAAGCTTTTTAGTGGATATCGATGGAATCAACATCGACAGTTCAGAAAAAAGAGTGTTATGTTAAAAATTGAATATCTGGATAACGATATAAGCTATCGAAGTGCAGTTGTGGCAAAAAAACTCAGTAATTGACGTACTTTTAATATATATAACTGAAATCGAAAGTCAAAAAACCTGATTGAGCAGCCTCTGTAGTAATTGGTCGTGGCGTAAGTGAAATGGCTCTTAAGGATAAAACACTAATCAGGGCTCTGCATTACAATAAAAGCGGGAAAAAATATAAAGACGAATAGTAGTACAAAAACCGAAAAATACGGAAACAGAAAACAGAATTAAATACTTCAAATTAAAGAATTGAAAACTTGTAATTGAAAAATTAGAAAACTTGAATATGAAAACTTTGAAAAATTTAATAATGAAAAAATGTTTTTCAAGGGTACACTTTGATATAGAATATGAGCAGATACATGTAGTTGCTGATGTTGATTTATACAGATGTAGGAAGAGGAGGAGGATAATAGTAGCAACCTGGAATATATTATTGCATAGTACATGCTTGTGTTCAGCCGTTTAAAATTGGTATAGACCATTGGTGAATTGGTGAAACAGCTTATTTCAAAGAACCACTACTGAGGTAACAAGTTAGGGTATGTCTTGTTTTATGTAGTTTGATTCCAATCAGCCAATTAACAATATATTAACGCCAAATAAGACTAACGTGTGGGTGTGAATCAGTTCTCTTTACACTCACACCCATCCACATCCAATTTGGGCGGTAGAAAAAAAATATATCATTGTTTTCATTGGCGATATCGGTCAAATAGGACAAATGAATATATGTATATAAATATTAATGTTTATGTACTGAAGAAGAGAGATAGCTCGAGATAAGAATGGCAGATTTATTTATTCAATTGAACGAATTACCTGATGAAATTCTTATTTATATATTTAAAAAGTTGATCAATCTTCAACTACTTTTGTTCATTATTAGGTGTTAGTAAACGATTAAATAGAATAGTATATGATTCTATCTTTACAAACCGTTTGATCTTACTAAGATCTGTATCGAATCGAATACTTGATCAATTTTGTTTACATATATTACCTAAAACTCATGATAAAATAAAATGGCTTAATCTTGAATCATGTTCAATCGAACGTGTCAACGACGCTACAAATTATCCAAATTTAAACGCACTAGGTTTACACAATGTTCAACAAGAAATGGATACATCATTCTTTACTGGTAAGATGTTTCACGTCGATTCAGTCCTTCAATACAGTTGAAATATGTGAGAACTTATTTAAATAATTCTTCCTTTTATTGTCTGAAGCGTTAAACAGATTATTTTTTAATGAAAGAATTTTTTTTCATTTGATTATATTTATGATGGGAAATAAAATTTCTCAGAGAAAGATAATGAGAAAAGAATTATGTAATCATTGAGATTATAAAATATTCTTATTGTTAAAAAAGAAAAAAACTTAATCGACCAGATATTTAACCATTTAGTCGTTAATAGAGATCATAAAATATTTTATTCCATAATCATATTTTTCTATTTAGATGAAACTCTTTTAAATGATACATTAGGAAAGCAGACTTGATTTCTTGTGATTCAAATCACTGATGATGAAGAACAATGTTCATCAAATGATTGGTGTGCACATATATTTACAAAAATCTTTACTATATTTACTAATTTAAAATATTTAAATATGAATCGATCTTTTATTTCTCAAAAATTATCATTTGATATTTTACCTCTGATTACTTTCTCCTCAACTATGTTAGAATTACATGTCAATGTGCGCTCTTACAAAGATTGTTTTTATTTACTTGATGGTCGTTTCAATCAATTTCATATATTCAATGTAAATATTTATTCTAGCATTCCTCATAACTTTTCAATAATCAATAATATGGTTAGTTATTTACATAAACATATTTTTTATTAAAATGAATCCACGAACAAAATTAATCTTGTTAATATGGATAATCTTTTATTCTGTTTTTTAGGAAAAACTTTCCAATTTAAAATGTTTATCTCTGTTTCATGATTCGATGATAATTTTCTACGATGAATTACTGCTACCACTTTTATATCGAATGCAGAATTTAGAAAAACTTGCTTTATACTTTGTTGTTGAACGCAATAAATCGTTCATTGATAGTTATCAGTTGAAAAGAGATATTATTAATAAAATGCCACAATTGAACCAATTTTTATTTAGTATTTATTCAATTATTGATCTTAATAATGAAATTGATTTACCCAGAAATGAAGATATTCCCAAATACATTCAGAGATTTTAAAAACAATCAAATTGCATCTTATTTTAATTATTTTCCAGAGGAGAAGAAAGGTAAATGTCAAATTTATTCATATCCAGTTACAATGAGACGTCATGAAGTTATTGCAAATAATTTTCCAGATGGAATATTCAAATGTGTTCGTGAAGTATCATTATTTGATGAACGTCCTTTTGAATATAGATTTTTTCTTCGACTTCAGAAAGCATTTCCATTTATGAATAGTTTATTGGTAAATAATAAAAAAGCACAAAATAACAAATTATCGTCTGAATCAAATAATAACAATCAACAATCGTCAATCATTGAATATTTCTATTTAACTCATCTTAATCTTAGTTACGCTCATTGTGTTTATCTCGAACAGTGTCTACTTGATACCAAAATGTGTTTACCAAGTAATGTTCATCTTGATGTCGATTATCAATTTTTAAAAAGAGTAACACACAATGTTAAAATAGATGAAATACGAATTAATTGTGGCAAAGTTAGATATGTCACCTCAAGTACTATACGACTTCCAAAACATTTCAGAAACTATTTTCTTTGAAGGAATACATTATGATTATTCTCAATTACGATTTTAATATAAAGTATTTTTCTATAGAATGAATCTATGTCAATAAAGAAGAAAATTGTTTTACATTTTATTGAAAACGAATTAAAAACGATATCTGCATATCAGAATGATCATACATAATAACATACATTTATGATAAAATAGTCAAGTAGCGTCAGAGAAAAAAAATTGACTTTAGAATGATATCTATAATTCTCGTTTTAGTGACGAAATGTAGCCAGTGGTGCATAATAAACGGAAAAATGTTTTCCTTTTTTCTAGTACATTTTCTAAGATAATAATCACTACGCCTTAGGCTTATTCGATAGAGAATTTTTCGCTCTACGAAACTGTTGACTTCAGGTTTCAAAGAAATTTTTCTTACTGGTGAAAAATTGCGAAGAATTGCAGGCAGTCAAATACTCAACTACGATCTTCTGTTGTTTTCTTCGTATATCTATCGATTTATGCAAGTCTATACTCATTCAGTTCGATGGTGAATGTTAACTATTCATTATCAATAGATAGAATTTTCACCTTTATGCTTCAAAGATCTTACAAGGCATCCTATGGTATTGTTCAGATGCATAATATAATAGCTGGCAAATTTTGTGTTCAACATGTTTTCAGAACTCGTCTTTTGAAAAGTTAGCCGTGTTAATAGGCTCATAGTGGTTTTTCAGAAAGTATGATTCCTCAGAATTCCTTAAAGGTTTAGCATGACGATGAAGCCTTTATAGCAGATGTTGTAGTCACTGAGCACAATAACACGACATATATCAGGTTCAAAAACGGTGCGTACTACCTAGGGACCTAGTCTTCTTAATCGACACTAGTCAGTTCAACATCATCACTTGTAGGAAAAGAATCTCATACTAATCATTAATAACTCAGTAACGATTTCAGCTATCGAGATGTCGTCGGTCGCAAAAAGACTCACTAGTTAGTATACTTTTATGATATATAAGGGAAATCAAAATTGAAAAGAATCAATTGAGTAATCTCTGTGAGAAAAACTCCTGGCTTAAATGAAATGGTTATTAAAATAAAACGTATCAATCATACGAGATATTCTAGCTAAAATCATAACCCTAGAGAAGTCCACTGAATTCCACCAAATTCAATACTATCATTGACATTGAATTTTATCAAAGTTTTATTTTATTAAAACAACTAACATTTTTATTAAATGTCACTAGAATTATCTTTTGGTATAGCTAGATCGGAATCGATTGTTATTTACAAATAAATCGTCTTGTTTTAATATTTCTCGAACTGAAAATATTGAACTCTGATATATGAAATTTTCTGTCTTTAATATAATATTATAATATATCATTAAAAAATAATTGAAATATTCGGGTGAAGGTAATCAATATATTTTGTGAAACATGGGAGTGAATTCCATTTTACAATGTTAAATTCTCCCTTGAAATTTATTCTATTGGAAATGATCTTATTAGAGGAATTTCGAAGAATGATTTATTTAATATCAAACAATTGATGTGAAGATATCAATTGAAAATAGTATTAAATAGAAATTGATTCGTTCGAAATAATTTAATGTTTATCTTGTAATAGTTATTTTTTATAATTCACCGGATACTATCATATCAATATGGCTTTAACATATTACAATCGATGAATGGAATTCATAGTTTTCGTTTGTTTTTACTTAGAGGGAAGAATAGTTAAACGAGAAAGTCTCCCAAAGCTGAAGAGCAACGGCTTTTGCATTAGTTTTTGCAGTAAAATATAGGCTCAGTTGAGACTTTTAAGGATCTCGTTATCCAGTTGATCAATATTTTCGTCGGTATTGCTCTTGTTGATAAATTTGTGCAAAAAAGCTCAAACAAGTGAAAAAAAAGTTTATTTTTCTGCTCAAAAATGTTTACATAAAATATTTCAAAAGTAATTTTCTTTCAAAAAAATATCTAGCGTTTTATCTATTCTTCACTATCACTGTCATCATTTTTGTGGATATATATTTTGATATTACGAGCTTTTACTCGTCCTGGATACATACAAAAATGCTGTACAATATCATCTAAGTCTTCATCAGTAACATGTGGTTTTAATATACTAAATTGCACAGTCGTCTCTAATGCTGTGGATGAGAGATTATTCCGTAATTTAGTTTTAATACGTTGTAATGCACTGAAACTTCTTGCACATTCGTTAGATCCAATTGGTAAAGTTGTTAAAATCTGAAATAGCATAAACCGTTCAGGTACTAAATATTGTCCATTCACTGCCAAGAACTTTACCATATCTAGCAAACAAACTTAATCATTCATTTTTTTCTTTTCTTGAATTCGTTTAAGATCATTATTTGCACTTTTTAGCAAAACACGTACTTCTGGTAATTCTTTTTCTAAATTTCGAAAGTATAATAATGCTTCATCTGTTCTTTCATATATTTTATGGTTCACTGCTTCATGTTTAACCCTTTAACTGACGCCGACCTATATATACGTCATGAACTTTATTAGTGTACAAAACTAGCACAATCAATCGTAATACATATTTTTTTATATTCGTCCGCATAGAGATAAGCATCAAATAGCTTAAGCT